GCCCACAATGGTAAATAGGTTGAGAAGCACTGCTGTAGAACACACCTTTTAATAAAGGGTGGTGCATCACTGTGCCTCCTAAGGAGTTATACAAGGCGGGAACTGCTGCTGAATTCCCATCTCCTCTTCCTCCCGGGTTGCTCCTAGGGGGTGCTGACATACCAGCTCGGCTATGCTGGCTAGTGCATGAAGAGGACAGAACAAAGGCTCCACCCAATCCCCATCTCTTCATCTGCTCTTGTGTGTATGTGCGCATGCACATGTTCAGGGGGCAAGCTTGTGCTGTGCTTTTACCTAGGCAAACCCAGATAAAAGCTCCAGACATCCTGTACAGAGATATAAGGGGAGGGTCTTAGAACCCCACATAGGGGTGCAGCCAGCCTTGCAATCTAGCCCTAAACTATGCTGACTTCTGACATGGGCCAGTGTCCTCTAAGCACTAGGAGGTGATGCCAAGTGTCTTTTTTTTTTTTTAAACTTATGACTTACGTTAGAATTGGAATTAATCTATTCAGAGGTGAACGGCTAATGTGGCAACCCAGCAAAGAGAGATGGGTGGTGCAATGCTGGAAGTTTTAAACAATTACCTCTTTTTTTAAAAGCAGTGACCCCCGCAGCTGTCACACAGTGTCTAACAGTGCTGTACGCCAATCAGATAAACCATATTTCGGGTTGTTGCAGTTCAGTGTTTAAAAGAACTGCGTTTTTCTGATTCAGAAGCCACGGTGAAGCAGTGCCAAACTTTTCAGAACCGTATCAGTCAAAAAAAAACTTTATATGGGTTAGAAACTGAAACGAAAGGAGGATTTGTTCAGCACTAGCAAAGCAAACTGAGTTTCTTGCTCTGAGGCTTCCCAGTTACTCATCACAGCTCAGATGTGTCCAGTAGGTAGCACTGTGCCAGTCTACCAGTAACACAAATTACAGTACTTCCCCACCCCTCCCAGTGTTCTCACCGGTCCAAGAGAAAATGTTCACAAGATAGGGATTTCAAGCCGTGGAACTAATATTAGAAATGACCTAAAAACATGGGGACATTTCCATAGAGATCATCCATGATAACGAGTAAACTTCTCTGCCTCTGACCTTCTTCCTTTGGTTTTTGCCACTGTTTGTTCTCTATGTGAGACTTCTTCCAAATCATTGGTTTTGCAGATTCTTTTCTTTATTGATGTTTTATATTGGCTAGTGCATTATCTGTTGCTTCAAAGAAAACTCTTAATTTTACTGATGGCAGAGGTGCTACCAATCCTGTCCCTGCTCCAGCAAAGGACTCTATATGAAAAGCAAGAGACGCTGAAAACACAAACAGAAAAGGGAAACACACAGAACCATACATCTTAAATGAGTTTTGGGAAAAGAAGGTGGGAACATGGGAGCTATAGAGGGTAAAACAGCATCCATATTCATCTTTTAGCAGCGTTCATACTGCCCTAAGAACATATCCAACCTTGGAAAACAAGAGAGAGCCCCTAGCGAAAGGAACAGGCACAACAGTGTCTGGGGTTATAAGCACAAAAGCAAGTTGTTCATTTCACTGACTCATGAGGAAACTTAGTGAGTGAGAAGGGCAGAAGGGAAAGAATTTGGTCTTCCCTGGGTATTTCACAAGGAGAATGTTCTGCCTAGTGATCAGTGGCAGAAGGAGATCCGTAGACTTCAGAGTTATGGAGATTCAGGGGAAAAAGCAGGTCTCTATAGCAAAAATATATGTAGACACATGCTATGTAACACTTGCCCGAAGTTGGGAGCATTTACAAGCCAATGAAGTGATACAATAATTACTGTAGCAACTCTCAGGGAATTGATAACACTATGGCAATTCCTTTACAGTGATGCCTTCTAATAAATTATAAGCCAGATTCTGATACGTGAAGTCCAGCTTAGTAGTACCCTACTTTATGGGTAAGGGCTGATTTCAAACAGAAGGAACTATTGACTCAGACTATTAGAATCTACCCTATGTAAATAACTTCTGGCACAGTTTAATAGCATTTAAACTACCAGCAGAGTGGTTCACGTTCCCAGCATTGGTCAGGCCCTTCAGTCACTGACACCTGCAAAAATTCCCAGTATTTTACCCAGCAATGGGAGAGGGGAGATTTTCACTCTAATTTCACAAGCTGTGCAACAACTTGTACTGTCACAAAGTGAGTACAACACTTAATCCAACAAAGCATGCCACAAATGTTTAAAATCCAGGCCTTTGGGATTTCCTCTTCTATATATGCACCACAGTTAGAACCAAGAATGGCTCTGAGATAGGAAATCCTGAACCCACTGGAGCTACACACTGGTGTACCATTCTCCCCTTTCCCCCATTTTAGGTGGGAGATCACCACAGGTGAATGGAGAGGTACGGCGGGCATGGAGCCTATCAATAGGAACAGAGGGAAGGTACAAGAGCGTAGCATTATACCTTAGAAAAAGAGAATCTAAGCATTTGCTCATACCAGAACATAAAATGAGAACAGTCTACTAGAAACATGAGGTTTCTGTCATTTAATGCAATGTCTTCTCTTTATTCTTGGAAAGAACCCTGCCGTTTCTATTTAAAAGGCAAAGGATATCAAAATACTATTTCTTTTCTGGCTTTCTATTGCCTGCCACTAGATAACCATCTAGAAAAGTTGAGGGAAGAGAAACAGCATAAGGGGATAGCAAAAGCTTTGGCAGGTACTCATACAAAATTGAATCCTGCTTGCACAGACATTCTGAAAACTCTTTTCCTTTGGTTTCTCAGCAAATGCAGTAGCCATACGGCTGGCAACAGCTTTAAAAACAAACCCCAAACCATCAATCCACAATAATTGCAAAATTTCCAAGTGTTGGAAATAGACCCTTTTTGCTTTTCTTTAGCGATAACCCACTTAAACCTATATGCTTGTTAATAGCTTATATTTATTTACTCTCTTCAGCATGAGAAGCCGGAGATCTGCAACAGTTACAGCTCCATTCCATGCAAACCTCATTTGGACACTGTCATCGTCAATCATCCCTCCTGTGCGGGAAGCATGTCAAAGGGAAACAAAATGCACTGCAGCACTCGACACCACCTCCTCCCCCTGCTTGCATGGCTGAGTTAGTTCAGAGCCTTCCTGGCTCAATGGTATTCTCTTTTCAAACAGCCCCCCATCACCACCAGCCAATGCTTGGGAAAGCTTTGATGTCTTCAGGGGAGAAAAGCAAACCCTCTTTATCTGTCTCTCTGAACGATTGCTAAGGCATTGCCTTTGTGAAACACTCCAAAGAAACAGTCTGCCATCAGCCCATTGTAAATGCATGCACATTACATGCAGAAATACCTTGTAAAATATTCGTATATGCATCAGTGCAGGATGAATGGAATAAAAGGAAGCAGCACACAGAGAATATCCCTTGAGGGGCTGCCATGGCTAGTTTCACAAAGGGCTGTTCATGCCAACATTCTGTGGGATTTCTCCAGCACAGGCTTCCGCTGGCTGATTGCGCTATAATCTCAGTCGGAGACGGATGCTAGCCTTAGAAGAAGCAATAGGCTTAAAAGGGCAAGAGAGCCAGCATTCCCATCTTTTCAGGAAGCTTTGGGGGTAAGCTGGGATAGACATGAGGAGATATTTCTGCCCCCAGCAGTGTGTGTGAGAATGTGAGTTGGAAAACAGACCACAGTCCTACTCAGACGCTTTCTATCAGCTTAGCTGAGGCTTTAAAAGGGAACCCTCTGTGTATTTCATAGCGCCTCTTAGTACGAGGCCAACTCGGTAGACTCGCATTAGTTTATCGTGTCCTGAATTCTGGGTATCAGAACGTTGGACTAGTGCCGGAGCAGGTTACCTACACTCAGTGATTTCTGATGCACAAGGCACTGCACCATGCATGAAACAGACAATTGTACAGTAGTGCTTGATAGAGAGAATAACACTGTCACATACATACACACACACACACACACACACACACACACACCCTTCCTTACATCTCTGGCAACGCATGAGAGAATGGAAAGTCTGTAGTAAGCAAAGCATCATTTCCAACCACAGCCCCCCTCAACCACCCCCAAATGCCAACATGGTGCTGCCATCGTTTTACAACACCTCATCCTTCCATTCTCTGCTGATGTTCCACCCTGGGAAAATTCTGATTGAGTTACTGAAGATAAGCACTCCAACAAAACATCTTCCCATGCAGAGATCTGGATGGGGCTACTTTGAAACAGAAGGAACTCCCTTTCTCTTCTGCCTTGCCAATCAAGTCACTTCATTTTCACATGGGTAACAGCATTCATGATCCACATCCCTGACCGTGCTCCCTCAATCAGCCTCCAAACCCCTCACTGTCCTGCGCCTGGCAGAGAAACACCCACTAGCTGGCTTTTACCAGCTGCTTTATCTATTAAAATGATGACGTAGAAATGCATGCACGTACATGTCATAATGTGTGTTCTGGTGACGCATGAGTATTGGGTAAATCCAGGCCACAGAATAGCAACCTCAGATAATCCAAACTAGGTGAGGCAGGTATTGCAGTATACCCACAGCTCAGAGACAGTCACACAAGGACTCACAACTGCTGGGGAAGAAAAATCACCTGCAGGCTCCTGATACAGGGCTTAATGCTGCAAGGTGCTGATCTAAAAGAACATTTAAGTGTATGCTTAACTTTAGCGATGTGAATAATCCCTCTGACTTCAATGACTCTATTCAGGAACTTAAAGTTAACCACTGTACTCAGGTCATCAAAGACATACATACAAGTGACCTTCTGTTCGGTATATTTTGCCCTATATTGGGATTGCAACCTACCTGTGTAGAGCACGGGGAAACAGGAGGGTACCTATGATCCTGATTTAGCACACCCAAAGAAAGATTGGCCTAGACCTTGCTTACATCCAACTTTCAGTGCTCACAAATTGGAGGAAACAATAAAGCAAAAAACTTTCAAAACCCAATGTTTTCCCCCCACCTCTTACTAAAAAAGGGGGCGCAAAGGCAAACAGCTCTCGGTCTCAGGTGCGTACTCACCCAGAAGAGAAGGTTGAAGACAAACATTAGGTACTTGATGCACTGCAGGCAGTTATGAGCCATGCTACACCTCTTCAGCTCTAAGAGAAAAATAAACGAGAGATCCAGGTAAAAGACAACGTACTTGTTCCCCTTGGGGGATGTGTACTTAGCCTTGGTGGCTTTAGGGCCCGGGTTGGTGTGGAATCCGAAAAACGAGTTGCTGGCGGCCCCAAACTGGCCGCCATACATGCTGCTGTAGCGACGGAAGGCGCCATTTGGAAAACTGTAATCCTTGCTGTCCAAAGAAGGACTCCTGTGATAGGTCGATTCATCGGTGCTAGACCTGCGCATGGTGACTTCCGATTGTTCCACGGTTACTACTGATGTGATGTTGTTGGATGTTGGCGATGGGGGGCAATATGTTTATTTATTTTTTTCCTGTCTCCTTATCCCCCTATTGCTTTGCACCAGCTGTTCTTTTGTCTGCCATTCTGTCAAGGAGTTAAGTGTGCTGAAAAGCAGAGATTGGCAAACTGGAGTCTGCTCAGCCAGGAGTTAGGGAACAGCGTGCTTCCGTGTGAGAGAGACTTCTGAACAAGTAAACATTCCCTTTGGTTTCACGCTTTCCCCCCCCCAGCCCGCCCTACTACCAAAAAACAAAAGAAGAGACAGAGATATACTGTACCCAAAGCAATTAATTTTAAAAAAAGGATGTATGATCTCGCTTTTGTCGCAAATGCCATATAAAACCCTGGCTCCACATGCTAAACACACGCAAGAGGGACGGTGCACAGACTTGTGGGCAAGAACAGAAATTATCCAAAAGGCAAGCAGCTCCCATGCCCCATTCCTCTTTGCCACATTGCTCTGCCCTGAGATGCTCAGCTCACTTTAAAGATCCCTGTTTCTCCTCACACAGACAGAACCTATGGTAAGTGAGCCACGAAGCTTCATTCACAGTGCTGCTGACACTCCTCTGAGACTCCAGTCCAATCATGCTCTCTGCTAGTATACAGTCACAGCTCTGTGGTCCATCCCTGCATCTGAAGCGAGCGACAGAGAGAATGAGCGTTCTTACTGTATCTCATGAATGCCTGCTCAGCATTCTCTCTGGCTCCTGCCCTCCCCCAGCCAATCAAAATTACCCTCAGACAACATTACTCCGCACCACCACTACCTTGTTTAAAATAAAAACCTCCCCTTGGTTTCTTCTCAGCAAATCCAACATAAGCTGCTTTTAACCAATCACTGCACAGGTGGAGGGGCTACAGAATTTATCTTAGATTTAACCAGGCCCATTCCCCTGGGTAGTTCTATTCTCAATCAGTCCTGTGTACATCAAAGCTTGGCGCGGGTTTTAATCATCCTAGCTGCTAGTGGCTCCTCAGATTTACAGTTCTCAGCAAAGAGCAACTGAATTTAGATTTGGTCTGACGTGCAATTGGTCCTGCAAGGATTGGGTAGGCATACATTACACATCCAGATTCACAGGCACACACATAGAATGTGCTGCATATGGCATACACAGAGAGAGTGCTATAGATTACAGCAAATGTATTAATTAATCCACTTACGACTATCAATCAGATTTTAGATCAAAAAAATCATAACAGTCCCATGCATGTATTTGCTTTTGCAGGAGATGCTATTAAAATTCACTTGCCTGAAGACTGGTCTGACTTATCTATTATGTTTACTCAGTGTGGGGACTTCTCTTTTTCCTTTTTTTCAAATCAGTATCATCACTCGGTTTAATGCTATTTCATTACATTTGCTTCTCTCCCTACCTATCTGTTTTTCCATACCATGTAATCTATTGGGTTGGCTTCACGCTCTGCGTGTGGGGCTCACCTCCCCACAACTGGCCCAAGCTGCTCTAACACTTCAGCAACTAGTAGAAAAATCTTTCATACAACGCAACTTTCTCAGAGAGGAAGGATGTGCTTGTAGCTAAAGTATTAGACTAGAATGCAGGAGAGCTAGACTCAATTCCCGGCTCTCCCACATACTCCCTGTGTGACCCTGGCAAGATGTTTTTGATTTCCATCTGCCTCAGCTCCCCATCTAAATATTAACACCTCATTTCTGCCATCCTTTGTCTGTCTTAACAATTTATATTGGGGCAGGGACTGTCTCTTACTATGAATATTGGGGCAGGTTGAAGAGGTGTTATACACACACACACACAGCAATCAATTTATTTAACAGCAAAGTTGCCTTTCTAAGTTCATTCCTGCAAACAAACCTGATTCAGTTCATTTATAAATTGCTAAGACTTTCATTCATCATCTTCCCCAATATATAAATATACAGCACACCCCAGCTGCTAGTATTAGAGAGAAAGCACTGCACTAGGTTCTAAGAACATTCCAACTCTGGCTCTTAGCCCACATGCTTCTACAGCCTTGCATAAGTCATAATTTTTTTGTACCCCAGTTTCCTTTTCTATAAAAACAAAGATATTTCACAAGGGGGGCGCTCTTCCAGGCCTACAGCAGCTGTCCTTCCCTTTCCTTCCAGATACAAACTCCCATCCCCCATACAAAGTCCTTCTCATCTAGGATACAAACACAGTCCAAAACAATCCATCCTTCCAGCTCTGAGCTTCTGATTCACCACTTACTTCTCCTGTAGCTTCCCTCTCCGCCTCCACCTAGGTACGTAAGGCAGGAAGACCCATTTAGCTGATGAGCTCAGCTGCCTCAACCTTACAGAACCTTAACCCTTCCCTACCTGACCCCTGATTGCTGCAGATAAGCCCAGGAGAGGATGAAAAATTGAATTGTCTGACTTCTATGAGGTGGCCCCAGTGTCTTCTTAAGACACAGATCAGTAGTATACCCTGTTCATAACAAGACTGACCCACCTCACAAAGGGATGATAGGGATTAATTAATGTTTGATTTTTTTTTAAGATACAGAGGACTTAAGTATGATAACAGCCTCTGCATGACCATCTCAACACACACTGTTTGCATCATCATTTAGTTCTGGTTGTTTCTTTTTAAACCACTTTGCTCATACCAAACATAGCTAGGTGCCTCTGATGCACACATCCACTTGGTGCAGCCCAGTGTACCTGGCATCTCTCAATATCCCAGAATGAGGATAATGAAGGGAATGATAATCCAAAAGGGAATTTCCCCATTCATTTTAGAAGCAGGCTCTCTGTGCCTCTGCCCATGCCATCCAAGTTTATCCTCACAGGGGTCCTGAGGAAACTCGGATTTTAATCATTAAATCTCCCCTACTTCCCATCTCCTTGCTGCATAGAGCAAATTCCATTCTCCAAGGAGGGAAACCCATGACCACTTCACCTAAAACAGCCCAAAAAGAAGTCTGTGGGAAAGAGTGAAGTACCTCTGCAACAATCCCCATCACTACCGAAACAGGGGGATGGGAGAGTAGGGTAGGACAGAGGAAAAACTAGCTTTGTGGTTAAGGGAGGGGACTGAGAAGCAGAAGATCTGGGTTCAATTCTCAGCTCTTCCACAGACTACCTGTGTGACCTTGCACAAGTCATTTGGTAGCTTAATTCACCTTCTGCAAAATAGGGGTAACAATACTTCCCAAGCTCACAGGGGTGCTGTGAGATTAAAATCACGTCTGAGAGGCACTCAGCTACTGCTATGATGGGGCCACATATATGTGATCGCATGCACCCCTGTATTCACACACTACTGTAATAACCTTTGTACAAAATATGCCTTGTGAGGTATTTGAAAAGTAACAACTTGTTGGTCAATATAATTATGGTGAAATGTGTGTAGCAACATTATATGTGAAGTTATAAACATAAATTAAAATCATGACCAAAGGGCATTCACCACTTGGAGAATGAGTAAACCTGCTTCTCAAAGACAAAAGGACAAGCTGACACCTTATCAAAGCTGGTAGGCAATCACCTAACAGATGGAAACAGATCTGCATCCTAGCAAACAACAGCATGGAACCTCTTTCAGCACTTTAGGGGGGCAACCGACCTAATAGATCTGGACTGTCCAGGAGAGGGCTGCACACACATTTTTGGGGGGAAATCCAGGACTAGGAGTGTGTTTGGGTCATCTTGCAACAAGTAACCAAGGCTGCTGGAAGCCAGAGTGTGGCTGGTGTTTGCTGACAGGCTGCTAGTGTCAGAGTTGCTGGACCAGGGCTAAAAGAAAAGGAGTACTTGTGGCACCTTAGAGACTAACCAATTTATTTGAGCATGAGCTTTCGTGAGCTACAGCTCACTTCATCAGATGTATACCGTGGAAACTGCAGCAGACTTTATATACACACAGAGAACATTCTCTGTGTGTATATAAAGTCTGCTGCAGTTTCCACGGTATACATCTGATGAAGTGAGCTGTAGCTCACGAAAGCTCATGCTCAAATAAATTGGTTAGTCTCTAAGGTGCCACAAGTACTCCTTTTCTTTTTGCGAATACAGACTAACACGGCTGTTCCTCTGGACCAGGGCTGTGGCTGTGGCTATACACAGACACTCAGGGTGTGACCTGCATGCTGCCTGGGAGCAGCACAGGTTGGGAGATACAGCAGCAAAGCATTGTGAGGCACCCCAGGTTGCAGGGCAGGAGTGACAAAGCCCCTCACAATATGCAAATAAAAAGAACTAGCAAACTAAAAGAATGGAGTGGTGTATGTAGGTTGCTAACCATTGCCCCTTTCTTAGGGGTCAGCAAACACCCATGTGTCTCCAGGATGTACGATGTGAGAGAGGATTCACACCATTTAGCACACACCCCTTGTGAGCCTACAGAAATGCACACGATTATAAATGAAGCAATATAAAGAAACACTAGATATAATGAGTCTCATACTCTGCTGAAATAGTTTCATGTCACCATTTATTAACAACAATGGTGCCCCACAGTGTTTCCAGAGTGCAAAAGGGATCAGTTTAACATCTCCATTATAAACCCTATTTCTGAGGGGCTCAAAACTAGTTCATTTTTACTGGCCTCCAGATGTTACATTATGTGCAAATGCCATTCACTAAAACAGAACTGACCCTCCCTCATGGCAAGAAATCAATCGCCCAATAAAATTAAACAGAAAATTCTCAAGCTTCTTTTCCCTCCTCCACCTTTTCCCCCCCTTCCCACCATCAGGTCACGGGGAACAGGAAGGAACCTGACACTCTTGAGAGGATGGTACAGCACAAATATTAAAACCGGCCACACAATCAGTCCTTAATGCACATGTGTGGATTTATTTATAAAGCCAAGACATGAAGCAGAAGAAAGAGTTTCTAAAAGTGGTTCCTGGGTAATAAATAATAAACAACATACAAGGCCAGCTCTCACACAGGAGTCTTTCCACACTGAGGTGGCCAGACATGGGGTAGCTCCAGTGTACCCCCATATGAAGGATGGTTCCACCTCAACCTTCACCACCCCAGGCACAATATGGCTCACGGTAATGGTAGCTCTTTTAAGGCAGCGTTTCTCAAATGCAGCCACCAGGGGCTTTTCTTGCTGCCACAGCCTCCTGGGCTGTTATGGGGAGGTGGTGGGGGTGGGGGAGTAGCGAGTGGCCCCTCCCCCTCACTGTTGCTCCTGGATGCACTGTCTTGGCATTGATTGCTGGGGCACCAGCAGGGATTGGGCCCTGCCCCCCCTTTGGAGACACCTGGAGCACAATGTTG